GGGAAATGTGATAAAAGATATTTATTTCTCCTATTTTTTAAATTATCTTATCAACATGTAATGCAAGTTAAGTTTAAATGTTTTTGGATTAATTTAAAATTTTCTTAATAAACTAGTTACTTAGCTCCCTAGCTAATTTTAAGCTCTTTTATTTCAGTAATATGTAAGACCAGTTTTAATGGAACGATGTTTGATTGCTCATCCATCCAAAATCCACGGTCTTTTTTCTTTTTTGTTTTTTTCGCATCCATAAGCCATGTTAGTTATTGATAAGTGTTTTTAATAAATTAAATAATTTAATAATAATTTTTTAATAAAATAAAAAATTATAAATTTAAATTATATTACATATAAGTAAGATAAATTAAAAAATAATAAAAATTTATATACTATTTAATTTTTTTTTTAAATTGTTAGTCTATGATCTTATACACTAGCTAGATCAATGCCAAGATCAATGCCAATATATAAGCGACTCGTTTGAAAATAATTTCTCCTTTTCGGCCAAAGAAAATTAGTGGACTCTTTTTATAAAATTATTAAGGATAGAAATGACCATTGAAAACTACAGTAGTGTTTTTCAAAAAGGTCAAAGGAAAAAGGCAAAAGGGGCACTTTGGCTGGGCAAGATGAAGAGTGGTGTTTTTGTTTTTTAAAAGGCTTTGTTGAAAACTATATTAAGTATGTATTTATTATATTTTTTTTATTAATTTATATAATAAATTTAAAAATAAATTTAATATTATTAATTATTTAATTAAATTATTTTAAGTAATATTAATATTTTAAATAAAATTTATTTTTTATTTTATTATAAAAATTAATAATAAAAAATATAATAAATGCATTTTTAATATAAACTCTAATTATGTATGTTAAAAAAATTTTTAATAAGAGAATCACCTTTTTGCAATTCAACCTCTGTTAAATTACAAAAAGAGACTTTTAACTAAAGATATTTAATGTGTCTCTTCTCAATTAAAAATAAATGTTTTGTTCGATTGTATTATTTTTACAATATTTTCAAAATGTATGGATAAAGTAAAATAATTATTTTTATTCATATTCCTAAAAGGTTAACTTTTTTACATTTATGAGAGTTTAATTAAATTTTTACCTTAATTCTAAATTTAAAAAATTTTAATTAAAAAACATTAATTCAATTAAACTCTTGTAAAGTAAAATAATTATTATATAAAATGAAATGAGCCTTTTTGCATTGCATTCTCATTTCATTGACGACAATAACCGGCCAGGCCAGGCCCCAACTAATTATACAAAGTACTAATATATAGTACTTAATTAAATTATGTGTGCACGCTTAGATTTACCTTAATAACATGCATGGTCAAAGCCACAAACATTTTATGCAGCAAATTAATAGTAGGTCCACGGCGGCAATATATACCTGATACTCCAAACCCACAATCGCTTAACCCTTTACCATCCCCCTTTCTCTTACAAAAAGACAATGCAATTTGTCTCCAAATTAAGTCCAAATTAAACGTGACAAAAGGGGGAAAACGCCGGCCTTCACGTTTTAATTTCATCGATCACAAACAAAGAAAACTCTTGTTGCCTCCATCGATCCTGCTACCTATAGCTATATACCTCTCCCGGCCTTTAAATTTATCAAACCTTTTCTCACTTCTCTATTTCCTCTTTCAGCCGCTAAACATGGAGTGCTCCTCTGACCCTCCCTTCCACCGGACCTACAAGAACCTATTCAACACCTCCTCCGATGATTCCCGGAGCGGCAGCGATGACGAGCTGGTTGTCGTCGAGGAACGCGAGCTTCCACTAATTGATCTGAGTCGGTTGTGCATGGAAGAAGAAAGAGAAGGGTGCGAGAGAGAAATAGTTAGGGCATCCGAAGAGTGGGGTTTTTTTCAAGTTGTTAACCATGGAATTTCCAGAGACATATTGGAGAGGATTAGGGAGGAGCAAGTTAAGGTTTTCAATCAACCTTTCGACAAGAAGTGCAAGGAAGACAAGTACATGAATCTCTCTGCCGGAAGTTACCGTTGGGGGACACCGACGGCTACTTGCCTGAAGCAGTTATCGTGGTCGGAAGCCTTTCACATTCCCATGACCGATATTTCCGGTGCTGCCGGAGTCAACAAAACTACCTTCAGGTATTTATTACAAACTGCTCTCCCAATTTAATAGTATTTCCCTCCTTTGCCTAAAATTTTAGGTTCCTTCATTAATATATTCATTTCTCCTTTCTCTTTGCAAATCTATTTTTTAATTGATAGATAATTCAACCTTTGATGCATATGTACTTAGAAAAACATAAGACCAAGGACGAAGTTCGTTCTTAATTACCTAAATTACATATTAAAAAAAGTTCTTAGTGTTGAATTCATCAAAGTTCAACGTATCTAGCGCTTTTATTTTTCTCTAGTTAATTTATAATCTTGATTTTGAATTTTTTTTATTTTGGGGTTAAATATTAAGTAATTTAACCTATTATGTTCACAAATTATTTTTCTGTACACTTTTGTGTATTGTTTTAGTAAAAAATTAATTTTTCTCTACTATATATATGTCTTTTTCTCAAAAACTTATATACCAAAAAATATATATTTTATAGAACCTAGAACACATTTCAAAGTGGTATAGTATATGATTAATATTTAGACTTATGATTAACTAAGTTACTTGTCCACTTAAAACACCTATAATGCCTTCATATATATCTCCCATTCATTTCACCCTGTCAGGTGCTACTTTACCTAACAAATACTAGGTAAGCAATTGAATGCGTCATTCAACACGACTTGAATCAAAGCTGTGTTGATGAATTTTTACTAATTGTGATATAAATAAATTATAGACCAGTAATGATATGTTGTCTGGGTGGTGTAGTTGGTTATCACGCTAGTCTCACACACTAGAGGTCCCCGGTTCGAACCCGGGCTCAGACATTTTCTCTTCTGTTTTGGTTTCTGAATTCTTGTTCGTTGAGCCTGTTCCTATCTCTCCAACATCCTGTTATGCTCACTCAATAGGGAGTCAGATTTCTAATTATTTGTTTTGACATTAAATCACACAGAAAAATTTGGAACCACAGGGATTAAGTTCCTTTCCTGTGATGTGTTCTGTCTGTGTCAGCTTAATTTCTGGAAACTGCCTCCAAAAGCTACCAGTGAAAATGTTCCAGCTCAGAAACGCAACTTTGATCTCCTCCTGGTGAAATTTACTAGTTTCCAACTTAACACATTGTGTTATTCTGAGATAAAGCCTGAATCAAATACGTACATTTGCATGCATTTATCTGATCAAGCTGCATTGGCTGTGCTCGCCGGCCCCTCTCTGATCACGTGATTGTTAAAATGAGCTGGAAACTCATCATCTTATCTCTGTCACCATAAAAAGCTGCTCATTATTGATATGGCCTCAATGGGGTCCCAATCTTGACTTTTACTAGTACTTGTCCTCCATTTTTGGAAGAATCTTCTAGTTTCTTTTCTCCACCATAAAGAATGTTTCCTTTTCAGTTTTCAATCAAGGTGGCTTCTTTGAGTCCTCATCTTTAAACTTTTAGGTGGTCTTCAATTGTCAATTGATGATTCACTGCTGACAGATTTTCATTCCATACAGTTCAACGGTGGAACAGTTTGCTACAACAGTTGCAGGACTTGCCCAAAAATTAGCAGAAATCCTAGCTGAGAAGTTGGGTCACAAGTCGACTTTCTTCCAAGAGAATTGCTTGCCAAGTACTTGCTATCTTCGGATGAACAGATACCCACCATGTCCAATCCCTGTTGAGGTATTTGGTCTAATGCCACATACAGATAGTGACTTCCTAACCATATTGTGTCAAGATGAGGTTGGAGGATTGCAATTGGTGAAAGATGGAAAATGGATTGCGGTTAAACCTAACCCTGAAGCCCTCATCATCAACATTGGAGACTTATTTCAGGTAATGTAACATTATATTTAGCTATCAATTCATTACCTTTGTTGTTTAGACTAATTAACCTAACAGTTGTCATATTTTGATGTAGGCATGGAGCAACGATGTTTATAGAAGTGTGAAACATAGAGTGGTGGCCAATCCATGGAGGGAAAGGTTTTCCATTGCATATTTCTTGTGTCCTTCATATGAGACAGTGATTCAGAGTTGCTCTCAACCAGCAATTTATAGGAAGTTTAGCTTTAAAGAATACAGACAGAAAGTTCAAGAGGATGTTCAAAAATATGGCTATAAAGTAGGACTCCCAAGGTTTCAAATGAATTGTATAGGGTGAATATCACGCTAGCTAGTTACCTCAACATTGTACTTAAATACATTTGTGTTTCAAAGAAAAAAAAAATATTATAGAGAGTAAGCTAATTAGTTAGTTAAAAAAAAAAAAAAGAAAGAAAGAAAAATGTTATATACATAGTAGTTTTGAGCTTGTATAAAAGCACTTTTGACCTAACTAGAGCTTTTGTGAAGTGCTTTTAAGTAAAGTGAGATATCATTTCAACCACTTAAAAGACTTAGTAGTAAAGATCCTTAATTTGAATCATAGACATATAAATAAGTAGGTAAAGGGATGTAAAAGGGTTATACATAAGTAAAGGGATATGAGAGAGTTACTTTTATTGTATTCTTTAAAACCCAAAAATGAAGAAGGATATATTATGAAATTACTTAAAATTTTATTTGTAATAATAATTCAAGAATCACTACCAATGCGGCAATCAGTCAATGACTTGAATTGGACCTTTTTACTACTAGCTTTATACTAATGCTAAAGGGCTTAAAAATACCACTCTGATTGTCAAAATTTGGGCCTTAATAATATCCCCAACTTGGGTTGGGCCACCATTTTCCAACGGAGCTTTTCTTCTCGAAGAAATGCAGAAGTGGATAAGGAAAAGGAAGGAAAAAAAAAAAAAATGCTGGCTTGCTCCACCGTGTGCCACCGGTGCCTTCAGGTGAAGGCAACGTCCGCCGATACTAATCTGTCGGAGCCAGAGGCTGAGCCAAAGGCGCGTAAGCTAAAGGCCAGCCCTCAGCTTAAACGATGGTCCCGAGCTCGGGCGCTCCGTTCGGGCCACAGATTGGAGCGGCCAGGCCACCGAGGCGAGGCGCTTGAACTGAAACCTCGGGGTCAACAAACCAAAGAGGTCGACTATTCCGAGCATGGTCAAGAAGGAAACGATGACGACTATGGTGTGTATGTGGCAACAGCGAAGTCTATTTACATGGTTTCTGATGGAACCGGTTGGACGGCGGAGCATTCGGTTAGCGCGGCGTTGGGGCAGTTTGACCATTGTTTGGTGGATCGTGGGTGCCCTGTTAATACCCATCTCTTCTCAGGGGTATGTATGGTTTCATTTCTAAGACTCATAATTATCTCAATTCATTCTCTTCTAATCTCCAAGCTCGAGCCTTCACATACACCAGTACAAGATAGCTTTTAATTAGCATTTTTTTGTTTTTTTATACATGGGATCATAAGTTATATAATATGGGGATAGCACTGAGATCTCTAACTTAGAGACTCAAGTTTCCTAACCACCAAGACGTCCCTGGGGACTTGATTAGTACGCATTATAATCTGTATTCTGCACTGCAATTGAATTAGTTGGGTGACTGAATGATATGAGTGTAATTTACTGATCTGATGCATTGATAATGATATGTATCAAGTATTGATGTTTTGGCAATACAATCTGCATTTTCAGATTGATGATGCAGAAAAGTTGATGGCGATTATAAAGCAGGCAGCCAAGGAAGGTGCAATGGTTGTCTATACTTTAGCAGATCCTTCCATGGCTGAGTCTGCCAAGCAGGCTTGCAAACTGTGGGGTATACCCTCTACAGATATACTGGGGCCAATTACAGAAGCAATTGCTTCTCATCTTGGTGTCTCACCATCTGGCCTTCCTCGAGGAGCTTCTGGCAGGAGTTCTGCCCTTTCAGAGGAATATTTTCGAAGGATTGAAGCAGTTGAGTTTACAATCAAGCATGATGATGGAGCACTACCCCAAAGCCTACACAAGGCTAACATTATTCTTGCTGGTGTCTCTCGTACTGGGAAGACACCATTGTCAATTTATCTGTCACAGAAAGGATACAAAGTGGCAAATGTGCCTATTGTAATGGGAGTGGACTTGCCAAAGACTCTTTTTGAGGTAGACCCTGAGAAGGTTTTTGGTTTGACCATAAATCCTATTGTCTTGCAAACGATTAGGAAAGCAAGGGCTAAAAGTCTGGGCTTCAGTGGGGAAGCAAGAAGCAGTTATTCTGAGATGGATTATGTGAGACAAGAACTGGAATTTGCTCGCAGGATCTTTTCACAGAATCCTGTTTGGCCAGTTATTGGTAAGATTTTATAATTCCATCATGTTAACTTTGCTCTGTTTCTATTTTCTTCTTTTGGCTCTTATTCTTCAAAAGGAGATTTGTAGATTCATTTATATGTTCCAAAAGTAGAAAAATAAAGGGGAGGCTTGAAATTAAAAGATAAAGATATTGATATTTTCAGCTGACAAATCATGGCCATATTAATACTTATCCATGAGTCTTTGACTGCAGAAGTAACTGGGAAAGCAATTGAAGAAACTGCAGCTGTTATTTTGAGGCTCTATCATGACCGAAAGCACAAGTGTACAATGCCACGAATCTCAAAACGTTATTAACATGGAAAGTACCTGTACCAGGTACTTATGCATGGATGAGATCAGGCTTCTGAATATTAAGAGTGGTTTACTTTGTGAGTTGTGATATTGTTTATAAAATCTCGAAAATTGTTATTAGAAATTAGTGAAATGCCAAGAAAGGGGATGCCTAGTCTTCTTGTTGTATACTAAAGTGCCAATGACTGATGGGAAAATGCAGTCATTTTTTGTTGTAATTAGACAAATGGATATGGTGAATGAATTGTCATTCATCTAATTTTTTATAAATGTTTTATGACTTCTAATTTCTAATACCTGAACTCCATTCTGTTGTTTTTTTTGGTTCCTCAAAAGCCCTTTAGGTTTAATTGGTCTGCAGAGAGATGGGGGTTTGCACTTCATTTTGGTAAAATTAAATACATCTTATAAATCTGGTTGTAGTCTTCTCCTTTAATTCCAATTTCAGCAAGTTTGTTTGGTTTGAATATACTGAATTGTGTTCCTTATCTACATGTCTCGTATGGTTGGTAGTGGCTTTCTATGTCAGCGAATCTAGTTCAAAGAATGTTGGAAGTAACCGCTGTATGGGAAGCCATGGGCTGTTAATTTTATAGGTTTTAGATAACCTTGAAATGTTGCCTTGAGGGCCATATCCTTCAAAACAGAACTGCAATTTGTAAGATATTCCTTTCTGTAAATTGGTAGCCTCTTGTGGGTACATAATTCAAACAAGTCTAAAGAAGACTACACTAATTTCGATATTTGCATTGAAACCATTAGAATATTTAGCATATGGTAGCCATCTTAATGATCTAATCTGGAATGGTTTTGTTGTATGACTTTGTGAGGAAAGCCTTAGTTCTTTGTTCATTTTAAGGATTCATTAATTTGTAGGGGCCAGGGTAAGTTACTAGGTGAGAGAAGGAAGCTAGTGTTTATACCTACCGTGTCCCTGATGATAGTTGGTAGTTTGAATTGAGTCATTAAGGTGGTTGTAATTTGCTGCCTTCTTTGACCCTAGCATCTGGTAGAGAAAAAACACTCCTTACCTGCCATCACCCGCAATTATTTATACAAAGTAGTTGATGAAGTGGTTATTTTCAGTCTTAATCATGGAATATGATATTCTGAGTAAATTAAACTTAAAACAATATTAGACCGTTTGTTTTTTTCATCTCTGTACATGATAAGCCTAAGAACTTTTTGAATAGAACATGGCATCCCACTCATTCCTTTACTCAAGCTTTTTCTAGGGAAAGGGAAAAGCTTCAAGGTGCGCCTGCTTATTTCTTCACATACAGAATACTTTAATGCCTGCGAATCTCATAGTTGTGCTTCTTCCTCGCTCACTCACATGAAACCCAAAAAGAACAAAAATCGAAGATGGTACGGAGAAGGAAAAAGGAAGCAGAGAAGCAAAAGTAACTTTCTGAACCCCCATTGAGCTGTGTGGACACTCACAACAAAACAGAAAAGGTGAGACATCATCATCTTCTTTGATCTCTTTGACATATATTAAAAAAAAATGAGGATTCCATCTCTGTTATTGTGCATTAGGTCATTGTCTCCATCTCAACAATCCCTCAAAAAAGTTTTGAGAGAACTGCTTAATCTGAAGCCATATTGGTGGGAGGTTTGTTTGCTTTTGCCCTTCCAAATTTGTCTTCTCTTTCGTTTGTATCCTCAATTGGCCGCATTACCCCATCAAAAAGAAGACAATTCAAGTAAAAAGGACCCCCCACTATGAACTACTTACACCAGTTTCAAACTTCATATGTCTCATTTTTTGTCTTCCGCAAAGATAATTTCTTTTGTTCCTAATCAAGAGAATTATCATCTCCATTCATCTTGCTTATTGACAGGGTGAAGTATATCAGCAAAATTGTTCCCATGCTCGATCTGTTGCAATAAAATGATAAAATTCTTCAGTACATTCTGGTTGAGAATCTCAGTACACATATGAACGATTGAAGAACTTACAATGTGGCGAAGATGAGTAGGACCCTCTTGGGGTCAAGCCATGGTGGAGCAGAGCGCTTGAAACTATTTCTCCTAAATGGGAATCTGCTCTCAGAGGCCGTACTGGTGATGCTGCCAGACGTGAGGGTTATCTGATGATGATGAATTGGTGGGTTGATTTTGCTGCCGCCGTGATCAATAGTGGTCCCTACAGCCGCCCCCACCGGCTTTTCAGGCGTGCTAGAACCTGAAAAAGAGCAGTTGCTGTTCCATAATTCCATCCCCAATATGCTAATTCAAGAACTTCAAAATCAACCTTCCAAGTTCCAATAAAGAATAGGGGCGGAGAAAATAGAAGTTCATACCTCTGGGGGAAGAAGCAACAAAAGAATCTCTGTCACTAGCTGTGGAGTTAGAATTATTAATCTTCTTCTCGACCCTCTGAGACCCTTTTCGAGAAAGACTTCTCTGCAACTTTTTTATTCAAAAATATGCATTAAAATCGAGGAAAAGCTTGAAAATATCGCCATTTTCATGTTAAACACACAGAGAGAGAGAGAGGGAAAAAAAGCTTACTGTAATTCTTGAATTTTGATTGATATCCTTGTTGGGTCTATGAGAGAAGCTTTCCATGTCAATAACAAAAGTATCAGATTTATGATCCGAAGCTGAAAGTTTTTGTGAATTAGTAGTCATCGTCTCTTCTGGGCTACAGGACTCCACAGAATATGTCAAATTCTATCATCAAAACACAGAACAGAGTTATTGGCGAACAAAGAGACGAAGTCTAAGAAAAAGAGAGGAGACCAATAAAACAGTGACACATGCTTACCAACTTTGGATTTTCTGGTGTATTCATTGAATTTTTCCGGAGAAAACGAGGGGAAAAGAAAGCTGGGGAAGGTGGGAGTAAAGTCTACGCAGCGTGAAGAATTGCGTACCGAATGGGGCAATTCGTTATCATCCCCCACCTGATTGGAAATCGAAGAAAGAAATGAATTAAGTCTAAACTTGAAGAGTTGTTTTATGAATAAACTATTGTAGAAAAATCAAACGAATTCTGGGAATACCAAGAACAGAGGAAGAAAAAAAAATCGAGAAAGAGTGAAGCACAAACCTTGAAGGGAAAACCCAACAGAGGAGAGAGCTGAAACTTTCTTCTTTAAAAACTGGAGGTGGGTGCTGGCACGGTGTTTGGTAACCAGGCAAGCTGAAAAGAACTGGGTCTTAACGAAGTTCGGATTTTGTTAAGATTTTTGGTGAAGAAGGTGAAGAGAAGAGAAGAACAGGGGAAGAGAGGAAGAGAATACAATTAGCTGTGAAGAAAAACAGAAGAAAGACTGAATTTTGGAACTGTAAGAATGCGGGAGCTTTTCACTTGTTTTGGTATTTATGGGATGAGTGAGTTTGTTTAATGACTTGTAACGTATGTGTAATTGATGGATAAGTATTTATTTTAGTTTTGTTAGACAAAAGTTACTAACCCATTTACACAAAGTCTTCATATTATATTTATATAAAATTTTAATTATTTTTATTTTTAATAATTAAAATTTATT